AGTGTTTTATCACAGAAACAAACCAAACCAGGGCAGGTGTTCTCTCCTACTTTTGGTAATGTGTTCAGTAAACATCAAATTTAAAATACCTTTGACCCCAGCCACTCCACTTCTCAAATCTTCCTCAGTAGACAGGAGCCTGTGACTCTTACCTGTTTCAGAGAAGTCTAAGGAAGGCTGGCATCACCCATCCCACCATAGAAACATGTATTTACCAAAACCTTGAGGTTTATGTGTATATAATATGGCTTGTCATAGTCACATAAAGTCAGCGAGACAACCTCTCTATGCCTTCCTGAATGTGTAATCCAATGAGAAAGGTACAATAAAGCAGGGTTGGTGGCAGCTGCTTATCTGAACCAAATGTTTCTCAGTGCAGAATTACAAAGTGCTTCGTCATTGGTGGCTTCTTAAAACGGGGTGCTGTGACTGAGATTTGGGGATAGAATGACATCTGCTACTCCCCAGAAAACATTCAAGGGTGGGATGGGGACACCAAGGAGTCTATTTACGACTTTGCTGAGACAGCTTATAGCTGGAACCCACTCTATCAACAAGGCTTTGTGTTGCTTTAGGGCTTTAGGATTTAATAAGAAAATTAAAACTGATATTTTTTTAATTCAAATCAGTATACATGGGATTGATGGTTCCATGGTTAAGAATTCATTCTGCTCTTACAGAGGACCCAAGTTTGGTTTCCAGCACCCACACTGGGCAGCCCCCAAACACGTGACTCTAGTTACAGGGGACCCAATGCTGACCTCCCTTCTAAAGCAACTGCACACACACAGAATACATCTTAATAAATATTAAAATTAATATAATCGTATGTTGTATGCAAAGCTCTCTCAGGGCTGGAAAGATGGCTCGACAGTTAAGAGCAATGGCTGCTCATCCAGTGAACAGAGTTCAGTTCCCAGCATCTACATGATGGCTCACAAGGGTCAAGAACCCAGTCCCAGAGGATGCAATGTCCTCTTCTGGTATCCACAATGCCCCATGCACATAGAATGCACAGACACAGCGTTGAGAGCTAGACTGATTAATCCAGGGCTTTCTCTGAGACCACAGTGAAAACACAAAAGGAACCTACTTCTGTGTCCTTGCTCAGGAGTGGGATTGGCAGGGCCGGTCCAGAGCTGAGGGCCTGGGCCTCAAAGGTCCTGGGAACTTGGCTTTCCCCCATGAAGACGCTGGAGTTATTAGTCCCTCAGCTGCTGCATGCTCATCTGGAATGCGCTTAAGGTAATGCGCTTATGGTCCCCCCTGTGCAGCACTGCTTGATAAGCCCCGTTAGCACTGTCCCATCTTCCCTCCAGAAATAGTATATAAAGTGTACTTCCTCCTCTTTTTCTTCTTTTGTTTGTTTGAGACAGGATTTCTATATGTAGCCCTGGCTGTCCTGGAATTTGCTGTGTAGACCAGGCTGGCCTCGAACTCACAGGGATCTGCCAGCTAAGATCAAAGGCTTGCGTCACCACACCTGGTGGTGGGGCATTTTTTTTTTAAAGATAGGTTCTCCTTTAAGTTCAGGCTGGACTAGAAAGTCATTGTCTACCTTCAGACTTGTGTCCCTTCTATAGATTCTGTACCTTGGATTCCTGATCATGCTGGCACCCATTTCTTCAAAGCCTATGCACCATGCTGCCACACCCTGATGTTCTGTTCATGTCCTGCATGAGTATTGAACCTAGGTGACATCTTTCACTAGCCTTTATCCCTCGGATACCTTTTAATTTCCTCTGTTCTCTCTTTCCCTCTTCTTTCTCCTGAAGGCGTAAGTCACAAACAATGCCACACCAGTTTGGAATTATGATTAATAGGGTGGTATTTATTTAAAGGGGAAAAAACTTACAGATCACTGTCCCAGGCAACAGCCCTCTACGCAACCAGGAAGGGAGTCTAGTCACCGGTGGAGCAGGAAGTGAAGAGAGAGAGGAGAGGGAAGTGGCCGCTTTTTTAAAGGGAGAGAGACCACGCCCCAATGGGCTGGTATCTCAGCAGCTATAGGCTGGAGGAGTGGGAGGACCTCCCGCAACATTCTCCCATGGGCCTCCAACCATCCAAACATTAGACTCCACACTATTCTACTTTTGGATGCTTATTTTCTTCACATTTTGGGGGTTTAACTTTAAAAAAAAAGATAAGATGTCTTGTATCCCAGGATAGTCTCAAACTTCTTCTGTAGTTGATAAAAAGTCTGAACTCCTAATCCTTCTGACTCCACCGCTCAAATTCTGGGATTACAGGCATGCACCTCCATGCCAGGCTCAGTTTGGGATATTTTTATTGACCTACAGCCAAGTCCTCTGTTACTTTTCAAGCTGTGATATATAGATATAGATATAGATATAAATATAGATATAGATATATAGATATATATATCACCATATATTGGTTTTTCGAGACAGGTTTCTTTATAGCTTTGGAGCCTGTCTTAGAACTAGCTCTTGTAGACCAGGCTGGCCCCAAACTCACAGAGATCCGCCTGCCTCTGCCTCCCAAGTGCTGGGACTAAAGGTGTGTGCCACCACCACCCGGCTGTGCATAATTTTTGTAGTTGATGAGACAGAGTATCACAAGTTGGCCTCAAATTCACAATCTCCCTGCCTACACCGGCTAATTGTGTGCTCACCACCATGTCAGATTCGGAAGCATTTTTTACAAGCTTTCTGTCTGGAAATCTCCCTGCCGCCTCTATCAACTTGCATGGAAGCCTATCTGCTTATGAGTGATAACATCTGCCTTTTCCTAGACCCATGGTCATAACGATCAAGCCAAGGCTATCCTCACGAGTTTGAGGCAAGTCTGAGCAATGTGAGTCCCCAAAAACCCCTGAACTTGGTCTTCTCTAACTGTCATTGTAGTGCTTAGTCTGCTGTCTCCTAGTAAAGGGAAAGGCTGCACAGCACAGGACAGCAACAGGGATGGAAGGAGTGGTGTTATGCCTGGAATTGAGTGCACCTGCTTTGCCAGAATATTACAGTAGAACATCGAATGGATCTGGCCAGGAGTTTGGCTGGAATAGGGTCACTCTCTTGAAGTGGTTGTCTCAAGGATATCACGGGGCCAACTTGGTGTTGCCTCGAGCTTACGGTCAGAGTGGGAGTGATGGGGGACTTTTTCAAGTGTCCCTGCTGTTGGCTCAGCTTTCAGCCATCCCTGTGTATATGTCCCACAAAAGATTCTCTACCCAAAGTTTCCCTTTTTCCAAGATAACCTGCCATTGCTTGTACTAGGGGTAGTCTAGTTGTCTGAAGATCCAGGGATATCCCTTACTGCCTCTTTAGTCTTTTCTGACTGAGGACTACAGAGGTCTCTTCAGCCACACACTGCTGAGACAGAGTTCTTACCTTATTATTCTGCCATCTTGTGAGCAACTCAAAGACAAGAGTTTGCATGGAGAACCCAGGCAACAGCGGTACACGCCTTTAATCCTAGCACTTAAACTCAGGAGACAGACACAAGCAGTCTCTGAGTTCAAGGCCAGCCTGGTCTGCAGAGTGAGTTCCAGGACATCCAAGGCTACACAGAGAAACTTTGTCTTGAGAAAGTAAAAAATTAAATTAAATTAAGGAAAAAAGTTTGCAGGAAGGGATTCGTGTAAGAGAACCTAGGAAGAAACAGAAAGGCCAGTGCCTGAACCAGGTCCACACCTCACCTCTCTTATTGCTACATTTGTACATACTGACAAATACTGTTCCTGGTCCAAACAGCTCTGAATTTTCTCTTCCTTGGAATTCAGAGGATCCTCGTTGATAAAGCCACCATGGGCTTGCATAATCTTCCCTTGGAAGTAGTGGTTGACAAAGGGATGAATGAGGGAATGGAGAGATGGCTCAGCAGTTAAGATCACTTGCTGCTCTTCTAGAAGACCAGAGTTTGTCTCCTCGCACAACCATCTGTAACCCCAGTTCTGGAAGAACCAAATCCTCTTCTGCCCTTCATGGGCAACTGCATTCATGTGCACTAATACATGACACACATGTGCTCACGCACACACAGCCAGTCCTAACAGTGAACCATAAAGAGGAAGACCATTATTTAAAGAATACTGCACCTGTCGGCTTAGGACAGAGATAGGGGTGCTCAGCAAACTGCTGTTATTTAATGAGACTATTGTTTAAGGTCCTGCATTTTAAATGATAGTCACTTATTTGCAATCCCTTCAAATACATTTTGAAATACATTTTCAAATGTGGTATCTTACTCATAGAGCAAAAATCATTGACTATTTTGAGTTAGGAAAAATCATGGTTGCTGTGGAATAATATTTTTGTATATTATGAATATGTATTACTCTCATTGGCTAATAAAAAGCTGATTGACCAATAGCCAGGTAGGAACAGATTGAGCACAAGAGCCAGGCTAGGAGAATTCTGGGAAAAGGAAGGGTGGAGTCAGAGAGTCACCAGCAAACACAGAGAAGCAAGGTGAGGATGCTGTGTAGTGATATTCTGTTTGTCCTCCAGCAATAAAACTTGTCTAGAGATCAGAGTGCAGAACTATCCACTAGTTAATCATAGAGGCCAGGCAGTGGTGGCATACACCTTCAATTCCAGCACCTGGGAGGAGGAAACAGGAAATGATATGGCTGGGGAGAGGAGGTGATAAGGCAGGGTGAAGACAAGAACTTAGTCATTTGGGGACTGAGAAGTTGGCAAGGTGAGGGATGGCTGTGGTTTGCTCCTTTGTCTCTCTGATCTTTCAGCATTTACCCCAAAATCTGACTCCAGGTTTTTATTAAGATCAATTAGAATTCTTACTATAATGCTATACTGAGAAAAGGTACCAAGTTATGTGGCTAAACATAGATAAGTACTATGAATTAGTTTAAGTATAAGAGTTATCTAGTAATAAGCCTGAGCTATTGGCTGAGCATTTGTAATTTATGTAAGCCTCTGAGTGATTATTTGGGACCAGGCATTCGGGGAAAAAAATCCAACTACACATGGTTTCATTTATTTACTTATTTTTCTATGTATGAGTGTTTTGCCTGAACATATGTCTGGGCCTGACATAGGTGTCAGATATCTGCCATGTGGTCTTCAAAAGCAGCCAGTGCTCATCATGGCAGAACCACCTCTCTAATCATGCTCTTGGAACCCTGGCAATGGACAAAGACTCTGTCATCAAGTTTCTGTTCTGGTGGACACGGACATCATATTTTTGTTAATTTCTGCTGACATGCAGGTTGGAAGGTTCTTGATTCTCTGCAATAGCTTGTTGAGACTTCAGCAAGCTCTCAGTAGGGCTCTATACCATGTTGTTTCCCAACCACCCTGGCATTCATATTGGGTACAAAGACTACATTTTAATTAACAAAACAGAACAGCATTTGACAGGCCTTCATTTCTGCATAGGTTCTCAGAAGTCTGGCCATTCCTGCACTCTTCCCCCCTACAGAAATTATCACTGCTATGGACTCTTTGATGGATCAGAAGGCCTGAGCTCCACCGAAAACCCTTACCACACACATCGCACGTGTAGGGTTTCTCTCCTGTATGAAGTCGCTGATGAGCTTGAAGATTTGACCTCTGGCTGAAGCCTTTCCCACACACCTCACAGTTGTATGGCTTCTCCCCAGTGTGGACTCTGTGATGGGCTTGGAGACTGGAATACCCACTGAAGCCTTTACCACACTGTTCACATTTGTAGGGTCTTTCTTCTGTGTGGATCCTCTGATGTGCCAGGAGACGGGAACTCTCACTAAATCCCTTCATGCACATATCACACTTGTATGGTTTTCCCCCTGTGTGGACCCTGTGGTGTGCTTCGAGGCGGAAACTCTGGCTGAAGCCCTTCCCGCACATCTCACACTTATATGGTTTCACTCTGGTATGGACTCTCTGGTGACCTTGTAGATATGCTCTCTGACTGAAGCCCTTCCCACACACCTCACATATATATGGTCTCTCTCCAGAGTGAACGCTCTGGTGGCTTTGAAGGTATGATTTCTGACTGAATTCCTTCCCACACTCACCACACTGGTAAGGCTTCTCTCCCGTGTGGACTCTCTCGTGGGCCAGGAGAGTTGAGGCCTTACTAAAGCCTTTGCCACACTCTCCACATTTATAGGGTTTTTCTCCTGTGTGAACCCGCTGATGAATTTGAAGATTAAAGCTCCAGCTGAAGCCCTTCCCACACTCCTCACACTTGTATGGTTTCTCTCCTGTATGAACTCTCTGGTGACTTTGAAGGTGTGAACTCCGACTGAAGCCCTTCCCACACTGCTCACACTTATATGGTTTCTTCCCAGTGTGAACTTTCTGGTGGCCTTGCAGGTAGGAATTTCGACTGAAGGCCTTCCCACACTCCTCACACTTGTATGGTTTCTCTCCAGTGTGAACTCTCCGGTGGGAGTGCAGGTAGGCACTCTGGCTGAAGCACTTCCCACACTCCTTACATTGATATGGTTTCTCTCCTGTGTGGACTCCCTGGTGAATGGTAAGAACCCATCTGTCACTGAAGCATTTCCCACAGGTGTTGCATTTGTGTGGCTTAGGTTTCTGCTGATCTTGGGGGCTAGAACTCCACTTAGAGATATTCCCACCCTCTTTATAAGTAGGTTTCTCAATGACGTCAAGTTGTTGATGGCTTGAAATACACAATTTTTGATCAAAGCTTGTACTGCATAAATGTTTATGTGGTTGTTCCCTGGGGTACACTGCTGAAAAGTTCTGGAAATGTGGGGGCAGACTGAAGTGGTCACCACACTCAGAGTTATAGACAGTCTCTTCCAAGTGAACTCTGTGTTCAGTATTAAAATTTGAGCAATGTGTGAAATCTTTTCTACACTCCACACCTGGATATAGTTTCTCTTCAGTGTGGATATCCTGATTAGCTTGAAGATACAAACTCTGACTAGAAACATTCCCATTCTCCTCATACTTGTTGGGCTCTTCCCTAGTGTGGACCCTAAAATTACTATTATAGTGTAAACAACAAGGCAGAGCTTTCTCAGGGATGCCGCTCTTCTGGGAGGTGTCGCCCGGGTGGACACATCCACAAGGGTTGAGAGGGGAGGCATGATGGGCATTCTCACTGCCCTGGCACAGCATTTGCTCTGTACACAGTCTCAGAGGGGACCACAGAAGAGAACTCTCAGCCGTACCTTCATCTCCTTTTTCCACACTCTGATGGATGTAAAGAGCTGACCTGTCCTGACAGCCCTCTCCATGTGAACTGCATGGACAGGGCTTTGCTCTTGAGTTGAACTGTTGATGTGTGTGAGAGCCGGGCTCATTGTTGTCACCATGGCCACAGGCTTTTCTATACTCACTACATGGGCAGGGCACCGGCCCTAATTTAATGAAGTCCTGCTTAAGTGAAGATACCTTCATGGTCTCTTCTCTGAGGTCATGGAAACTATAGCTTTCCCCCTTTCTGTGTAACCCCTCACTGTCACTGTGGTATGAGAACCAACTGATGCTGTCACATCCATGGAAATGATTTCTCGTGGGCATTTGCTGACCTTTCCATTGGCGATTACACGACCCACTGAGATGTGATTCCTGCCAAGACTGCTGGGCTCTCAGTGAAGGAAACTCTTGACTTCTCAGAGAGGCAGAGTCATCATCTACAGGAGGCAACACGTAGTTCCCATCCTCAGAAATCTGAACCAGCCTCCCTGCGCACACCAGGAAGGAAGAATCTCCTTGGTTCTGAGACTCAGTGTTGCTCTTTAGACATCTTTTCATGGGATCCTGATCCCTGGGTAACAAGCCTGCACCCTGTGGCCAGGTCTGACAGGAGGAGAGCTCTCTGGGACAAAGGGAGCTTAACTCCATGTCTTCATCATTCTCCACAGCACGTCCACCCTGGCTTCCTATAAGGATGAGAATCCAGACAAACACACAGGTGAGCACCTTACTGAGAGACGCTGGTGTGTAACACATGGTTCATATCAGGAGACAGACAGGCCACACTGTTTCTGTGGAGACTGACAAAACACCTGATGCACACAGAAAACACAAACCCAGGGCTCTCTGGGTGCCTAAGATCTGGGTTTTCTGCAGGGCAGTAGTGGAACAACCTTTAATCCCAGCACTCAGGAGATAGAGGTAGGCAGGTCTCTGTGAGTTCAAGGCCAGCCTGCTTTCTAGAGTGAGTTCCAGGACAGCCAAAGCTATACAGAGAAACCCTGTCTCCAAATAAACAAAAACAAAAACAACATGAGTTTTCCTCATTCTTTTTTGTTTGTTTTTTTGGGTTTTGTTTTTGTTTTTTGTTTTGTTTTTCAAGACAGGGTTTCTCTGTGTAACAGCCCTAGCTCTCCTGGAACTAGCTCTGTAGACTAGACTGATCTCAAACTCACAGATATGGGTTTTCTTAACAAAATTAGGGTATTAAATGTGGCCCCATTCAAAAGGTCTAGTGAACTTTAAGCATGTCATTGTGCTTTATCATGGGCTGTTAGATGATCCAGTAAAGAAAACAAAAGGGGATATTCCCAAAGTAGAAAAATGTCTCTTGTCTTCTGTGAGCATGAAAGTGAGTGTGTGTGTGTGTGTGTGTGTGTGTGTGTGTGTGTGTGGTTTTGTCTCTCTCCTGTCTCTAAGTGTCTGGGCACTCTCACTTTCTGTATGTGTATGTGTGTGGTCTCTGTGTGTGTGCATGCATGTGTCTCTGTGTGTGTGTACATGTCTATGTGTACTCTATATCTGTGTGTGTGCACACATGTGTTCCACCCATGGTATGACCTGAGGGAGTCAGTTTACTCCCTCCTGACAACACAAAGGTTCTAGGGATGGAACTCGGGTCTCCAACTTGGGGCTAGCACCCTTACTCAAGGAGCCATCTGAGCAGCCCTGCTCTAAGCACTTTAAAAGTCATTATACTATTTGTGAAGTGGGAACCAGTGGAGAGTTAAGGAGAGAAATGCTATGCCCTGCCCTGTTACGGAAAGCACTCCCGCCCACTGGCCCAGCAGCATCTTCCCCACCTGAGATCTCACCTCCTTGGGCCTCCACCATGCAGAGCTCCTCTTCATTCTGCAGCTGGGCTATCAGACCTGGTGTAAAGGGCTGGGGTGCTATGTGGAAAAAGACAGAAAAACAAAAGTTTGACGATGTCTACTTTGTCAAAACTAGATCTATAGAAAAAGAGTGGGTATGAAGGTATATGTCCATCATACCTGTACCTGGGGGATAGAGGCAGGCAGATCAGAGGTTCAAGCCCACCCTCAGCTATAGAGTAATTTGAGAACAGTCTAGCTTGGCCTGTAGAGAGAGGTGTTGTTTACTGGATTGTCCCTTACACAGCTCAGAGGCACTTGGCAGAGCTGGCACCACCAACAGTGGGCTAGGCCATGATCATAGGAATAATCAATCAAAAAAATCCCACACAGACTTGGCCACACGCCAACCTGACAGAAGCATTTTCTCAAGTGAGGCTCCTCTTCCCAGACGACTCTAGCTTGTGTCATTAATAAAACCAAGCAGGACTCCCATACATAGCTCAAAGGACAGATGGACGGAGCCATGAGAAACCTGTGCTTCCAGTTAGACAACCACGTCCAGAAAACAACTCCAGCAGTTCCCAAGCTCCCAGCAGCTGGTCCCAGTCGCTCATCCGGGAAACCCAGACCCCATCCTCACCCACTGAGAGCAGCATCCTGAAGGTCTCCAGCATCACATCACGGTACAGCTTCCTCTGAGCAGCGTCCAGCAGCCCCAGCTCCTCCTCGCTGAAGACCACAGCCACATCCCTGAACGTCACCATCTCCTGGGACAGCAAAACTTGCAGGTTATAACTACAGAAGACGTGAGGCTGAGATGTGGAGGGAGGACCTTGTGGGACTCAGAGCCTCTCAGCTGGAAGTACCTGTCTCTGCCTGCCTTCCATCTGCTGGGTCCACCCGTCATGAGGGCTGCAAAGAAATCCTCATATTTGTGTGTGCTTGTATACATATGTGGTGTATGTGTGGATGATGTGTGCATGCATGTGGATGCACAATGTATGTGAGTCTGTATGTGCATTGTCTATACCTGTCCAAATGCACATGTGGATGCACAATGCATGTGAGTCTGTATGTGCATTGTCTATACCTGTCCAAATGCACATGGGGATGCACAATGCATGTGAGTCTGTATGTGCATTGTCTATACCTGTCCAAATGCACATGGGGATGCACGATGTATGTGAGTCTGTATGTGCATTGTCTATACCTGTCCAAATGCACATGGAGGCCGGAAGCTCACACTGCTGTCTTTCTCTGTTTCTCTGCATCTTGTAGTGATATTTGTTTATGTTTTAACAAAGCTTGCCTGAAGATCAGAGTATAGTGCTAAGTCACAAGAGGTCAGGGAGTGGTGGCACACACCTTTAATTCCAGCACTTGGGAGACAGAGGCAGAGGGATCTCTGTTAGTTAAAGATCACCCTGGGCTACACACGATTGAATCAGTCTAAAAGAGAAACAGAGCTCAAGCAAAGGTGACCCCAGCACTTGAAATCCCTACTTTTAATCCCAGCACTCGGGAGAAAGAGGCAGGTGGATCTCTGTGTGTTCAAGGTCAGTCTGATCTACAGAGCCAGTTCCAGGACAGACTCCAAAATTACACAGAGAACCTGTTTTGAAAAACCAAAAAAAGAAAAAAATCCTGCTTCATAGAAAAGACTGTCGAATATTCTAGGCCTGTAGGCCAAAGATGGATGCCCCAGTGTTGCAGAGGAACCTGGGGTGACTGTGCAGGTAGACAACTGTTTTTGTCATTTCTCACATTTTTTGGAATTCATTTGCTCGTACCTCCTGCTTACTCAGTTAATATTATTTCCTTCTCAGGTCTGTAAGGGAGTTGAAGCCTAGATAGTTACAGTTATAGTTTTTCTTGTTTACCGGACTCAGAAAAGAAATTCATTAAAGAGGAACAAAGTGTATAAGGTTGGAAGACATCAAAAGATAGTTTTGGGTGGTAATGCAAATTAGGATAGAAAGTGAATTAGGTACAACACTTTGGACCCACCAAGATAGGCTAGATAATGTAGTATTTTCTCTGAATTTGTCAAATACAAATGGACGTGTGTTGATATATTTCTTGCCTGTGTGTATATATTGTATATAGCTATTGCAATTATTGTATATAGTTTTTCTTATATTAGTTATAGCCTTCTATTTTAATTTGGACAAAAGGGAGAAATGCAGTAAAGTTTCATTTATATTTTGATAAATAAAGCTTGCCTGAACATCAGAGTGCAAAGTCTCAAGAGGCCAGCCAGTGGTAGCACACATCTAATTCCAGCATTTAGAGACAGAGGCAGACAGATCTCTGTTAGTTCAAGGCCACACTGAACTACACAAGCTGTTTTTCTTTGGTCTAAAAAGAAAACAGAGCTCACAGAAAGGTGATCTCAGCATTTGGGATCCCACACCTTTAATCCTAGCACTAGGGAGGTGGATACAGGAGTGCTATGTACAGAAAGAGAGAGAAATATAAGACAGGAGGAGACAAGAGCTCAGGGCAGTGTGAGGATTCATGGAGACAGATGGAGTCTGGAGATGCAGTACGAGGACAGGATTGCCCCATAGGTCTGATCTCTGATAGATCAGAACTCTCTAGTGGCTGGTCTCTCTGCTTCTGTGAGCTTCAGCATTAACCTCTACATCTATCCAACTCTGGATTTTTATAACTAAGATGTACTAGAACTCATACTACAGCATCTGAAGAAAAACTATGACTTTGTTATTTTGTGCGTACGTGTGAGTGTGTCTCATGGCAAGCACATGGCATGGAACATATGCAGAGGTCTTCCAGGAGTTGGTCCTGGTCTTCAACCTCGCAGAAACACAGAGGAGGGTCCATTCTCTTTTGCTGTACCTGCTGTACTGTTTATTCTAGGTTAGCTATGCTACCAGCTTCAAGCTGGTTCTCCTGTTCCCTCCATAGTGGGAATACAGATGTGCACCACATCTGGCTTTTTATGAAGATTTCAGGGATTGAACTCAGGTCATCAGGATTGCATGAGCCATCTCCCCAACCCCTTCCACATTGCTTTATAACAGTTTGTTATCATTGACTCTGGAGCTCACCGTTTAAATCAATCCAGTAATAATTATTCTCTTGTCACATATTAACTATATCTTTTCAAAATGTTATTTCTTATTTATCTGTATGTTGTGGCATGGTGTGTGTGTGTGTGTGTGTGTGTTGAAAGGGAGATGTAGCTGAGTGGGGAAGAAGGGACAAGTGTGAGAGATGTAAGCAGAAACGTGAAGGTATGCAACTATGTGCAGAATGTGTGGAGAATACAATTCCATGAGAATGGATGTAACATGTGTAGAGGTGTATGGCTGTGCAGTAGGAGAGATGTACATCTGTAAAGAAAGATATGTAGCTATATGCAAAGCATGTAACTGCTGAGACAGAGAGCTTCTCAGAGAGGGTTTTTAAGATGAAGTAAAAGAGAAAGTTACCATCAGAAAGCATGTCTGTTTCCTTATTTTTCCCCTCAGATAGAAAAGGTCTAGCCCTCACCTCATTCATGAATATTTTGCATACCCTGGGTACTGCCTAAATACTCCAGTCACTGACAACAGATGATGGGGCTACCCAGGCTACAGAGTAAAATCTTAGCTCAAAAAAAAAAAAGGAAGAAAAGAACATTAACCTCCCCGACACACAAAGGAGAGGCTCCGATTGGACAGATGAGAGCTATGACGGCAGCTCAGTAGGTAAAGGCGCTTACTTGTCCAAAGCTTGACTACCTATGTTCAATCCCAAACCCACATGGTGGAAGCCAGGGACTAGGCTCTTGAAATCTGTCCTCTAACTTCGACAGGCATACTGTGGCAAAAGTGCTCACAGCCCCATGAATAAACAAATAGATTTTAAAATAACAAAACACAGGAAGATTCTTTTTATGTGCCTGTCACATGCATGGCCCAGTACCTGATGCCACTACTTACCCTGACCTAAGAAGGGAACAGTGCACCCATTCTGAGAAGTGAGGGAGTATGGTGGTTTGAATAAATATGGCTTCCATAGGCTCATGTGTTTGAATGCTAGGTCCATAGGGAGTGGCACTATTAGGGGTGTGGCCCTGTTGAAGTAGGTGTGGACTTGTTGGAAAGTATATCACTGTGGAGGCAAGCTCTGAGGTCTCATATGCTCAAGTTATGCCCAGTGTGGCATAACACTATCTCCTGTTGCCTGGGGATCAAGATGTAGAACTCTCAGCTCCTTTCCAGAACCATTTCCACCTGCATGCCACATTGTGATGATAATGGCATGAAGTGTACCTCTGAACTGTAGGTCACAATTAAATGTTTTACTTTAAAAGAATTTCCAGGGTCATGGAGTCTCTTCACAGCAATAGAAACCCTAACACAAGAACAAATGGCACAGATAAATGTCAAAACACCTGCAATTGGGCCATTTGCTCCTCTTTTCTTCCAGAAAATGGTGCAGACCTGAGAAGAGAGGACAGGATGATAGACACCATGAGAGAGGGAAAATACAAGCTTGGCCAGGTGAGATCAAGATGCCCCTTGCCTCCAGAAGCAGGCACACACATGCTGCAAATCAGGCCACATTCCAGATGTAGTAAGAAGGGGAGCAGGCCACATCCCACCTAGCTAGCTTATACCCAAAATAATAACACAGACACTGTATTCATTTAAACACTGCCTGGCCATTAGCTCTACCCTCTTATTAGCTAACTCTCACATATTGATTAACCCATTTCCATTAATGTGTATCACCACTTGACTGTGGCTTACCAGCATGAGTCTAACCAGGGTCTGTCTCGGGCAAGAGAATCATGGCATCTGCCACACTTCCCTTCTCCCCAGCAATCTGTACTGTCTACTCCACCCACTTAAGATGCCCTATCAAAAGGCCAAGGCAGTCTCTTTATTCAACCAATGAAAACAACACACAAACAGAAGAACCCCTACACCAACCAGCTAACCCCAGGATGTCCAACCCTAGGCTATAGGTAGGGACAGCCTTCCCAAGTGTTCTTACTTCATACTGGGGATCCCCCAGATGTTCACTCCCATCCTGGGAATCGTGGCCAAGAAGGGCATTGGCTCCCAGCAGCATCAAAGACAAATTTCCTGTGTTCAGAGGTTGGTGCTGGGCTGTGATGGTTCAGCAGGAAGGGTGCTTGCTGCCAAGCCTGATGACCTGAGATTAATCCTCAGGACCCACATGGAAGGAGAGAACCAGCTCCCACAGGCTGTCCTCTGACATGAGCTTCTGGCATTACACACTCGCTAATAACTGTAAGTCATTCTTTCAAAGGTGTGTGGTGCTAACGTGTGTGCTCATGGAGTAACCATAGCTATGTTAACTAACCTACATTCCAAATCTGCCATCTGCAAGAGGGCTGTTAGAGTGTTAGCATTCAGTGATAAGGGCTGCTGGGATTCTGTGCGCCAGCAGTGAACAGCTACTGTAACAAATTAAACCTCTCTGTCCCCATGAGTGTCCAGAAGAGTCATCACAGAACTGACCTTGCACTCTAACCCCAGTGAGAGAATTGAGCATACCTAGGTGGTAGAGCCCCTGCCTAGAATCCCCCAGTGATGGACTGGGGTGTGACTTAGTGGTAGAGCCCCTGCCTAGAATCCCCCAGTGAGGGGCTAGGGTGTGGCTCAGTGGTAGAGCCCCTGCCTAGAATCCCCAAGTGAGGGGCTAGGGTGTGGCTCAGTGGTAGAGCCCCTGCCTAGAATCCCCAAGTGAGGGGCTAGGGTGTGGCTCAGTGGTAGAGCCCCTGCCTAGA